ATTTATAATATCTGTGTGAGATTTAATTAATCTCTCATCGCCACAGTTATTGATTTTCTCTTTGGAATTAGATTTTAATAACCATCTGTGAGAACAGTCAGAAAGCCTGTCTCTGGAAACAATGCCTTGATATTTTAGGGATATGAGAGCAGCTGCGAACTGTTATTCTTCCTTTTTTAATAGCTGAATGTCAAATCCTGTAGTTTGGCTTTCATTCACTAATATGAGCAAAGGATTCTGCCTTTCTTTCTGATTCACGTTCCATTAACACACTGCATTAACATGCTGTGTATTATTACTCTTCAGTTCAAGTTACCTTCTGAACTAAAAATAAATCCCATCCGGGCCTCTGATTCTAACCTCACCCTATAATCCTCTTGGCCTTGGCATTACTGTTTTATTTTCCTTAAATAAATATCTCCCATTCTCAGGCTTTGCCAAAATCCAGTTATTTTATTAACTCAAATTTCAGTCTTCTTCTACCTCAGCATGGTATTAATAAAAATGAGTGGGTATGAAAATGTATATATGTGCACTGTGAGTGAATAAGTGAATTTACATTTGAATGAGTCTGTTTGTGTCTACTAGTGGGTGTTTATAGCCAGCATGGAAAAGGTGTGTAGGCGGGGATAGGAAAGATTAAGGCTGGTGAAGAGGAGGAGAACCTGTAGAGCAGCCGCAGAAGGTGATAGTAAGGGCTGGTGTGGGAGAGGGGAGAAGACCATCATCGTGTCCTTCCTGCTGAAATGCCCGTCTTTCCCTTAATATCGATTTCCAAACATAATCCAGAGGAAATAATTTATGGAGTTACCTCATTTTACTTGCTTATAAATTGAATTTATGTCTAATTTGTGTTCTTAAAGTATAAGTGACTAGAAATTGGATATGTCCATGTTTATTAAAGGGTATAAAACCAATTGTAAAACTGAGTTAAGGAAATTTCATAGTCTCTTTTATACTGTCAAGGAGTCCTGGCATTTGGCTGCTAATCAGGTCAGTGGTTTGAACCCACCAGCCGCTCCACAAAGAAAGATGAGGCAGTCTGCTTCCATAAAGATTTACAGCCTTGGAAACCCAATGGGGGTCGCTATGAGTGGGAATTGACTCGGTCACAATGAGTTTGGTTTGGTTTTTTTTATACTGTCAACACCATTATTCTGCCATCTGTTATGGTTGAGCAGTGATTTTCAAAGTATGGTCCCCAGACTAACAACATCAGCATCACCTAGGAACATGTTAAAAATTAAAATTCTGGGATCCCATTCCAGACCTACTAATCAGAAGCTTTGGGTGTGGGGCCTAGTTTTAACAAGCCTTCCAGGTGACACTGATACATAGTAAAGTTTGAAAAACATTCTTGTATATTGTTGAAAAAAAATTGACATCTCTCTGTCATCTTCCATCATTAAAGTTTACTTTGAATACCCTAACACAAATGAAATCTGTCTTAGTGTGTTGAAGTTGGTGACAGACAAGAACAAACAGTTGATTAGGAGTGTGGGTAAGTAGAGGGAAAGAAGGAAGACCTGTAGGTATGGTACTGCTATGTTTATTGATAAGGCTGTGTTTGCTTGGTTGAAAGGATATCCTGATTATATTAGAATATGGATAAATTCCATATATGTGCATTTTATTATTGTATAAACCTATATTAATCTGTTTTATTCGTTTAGAAGTATTAATACTTGATTTATTTTTGTTCCGTTTTTGCTGCTCTCTACTCACCATTAAAAAATTATCTTTATAGAAATTTTACAACCCTTGGCACTTGACTGCTAACCAGAAGGCTGGCGGTTCAAACCCACCAGCTACTCCTTGGAAGGAAGGTTGGGCAATCCTACTTCCGTAGTGATACTGCCTCGGAAACCCAAGGAGGGGTCGCTATGAGTCAGGGCTGACTCGACGGCACATAACAACAACAACAACAGCAGGAAGTTTATTAGTAAACTATAATTAAATATTCGTATAAAGATCCATTATTATTCTCCTTTATAGTCCACATTTTTCTATCTTAATATTAAACTAGACACAAAACCCCTCTGCCGCCAAGTTGGTTCTGATTCATGAAGACCCCCATTGGGTTTCCGCTCTTGGCTCCTGACCCTTATTTCTTGGCGGTAGTCAGATCCCTTTAATCTCTGCTCCCTTGATTAATCTCTTATATCTCAAAAGAGATTAACTCCCATACAACTTAATCCTGCAGATTAACATTACAGAGGGCATAATTTGCAACACATAGGATAATTATATTAGATCACGAGATAAAGGATAATTACATAATACTGAGAATCATGGCCTTCTTAGCCAAGTTGGCACATGTGTTAGAGGACATAGTTCAATCCATCATAGTCACTGTGAGTTGGAGCCAACTCAGTGGCACCTAACAACATACGTGAAATACCCTGCTGATCAACAGCTGCCTCAGCATTTAGAGTTGTCACCCGTGATTCTTGCCAATCACATGGCTGTAAAATGGTGTCTCATTGTGTTCCTTATTTCCATTTCTTTAATCACTAATGAGACTAAACATATCTTCATGTATGTGTGTTTCCTGGTCTCTAAAAGATGTGCGTGGTTCTTTTGCACATTTTTCTATTGAGTTACTTTTTTTTCTCTTACTGATTTTTAGGAAATAGCTGTATATTCTTCATACTAATTCATTGTTACGTGTGTTTCAAATAGTTCCTCTAAATTTGTAACTTCTTGCTTTATGATATCTTTGTGACAATCAGAATTTCTTAATTTTAACATTATCAAAAATAACAATTTTTCTTTTCTAGTTGTGCTCTTTAATTTTTTTAAAGAAACTTTTCTCTATTTGAAAGTCAGAATTATATTCTCCTGTAGTTTTACTTTTAACATTTACGTTAGTAAGGTGTGAGATAAGGGTCCAGCTTCATTTATTTCTCCACATATTTCTCCACTGCCATCGAGTCAGTTCTGACTCATAGTGACCCTATTAGCATCCATGTAGTCAACCATATTTTAAAATCTTTTTTTTTCCAGTGATCCACCATATATTTCATATATTGAAGTTTCATGTATCTATGGATTTGATCTGGCCTTTCTATTTTGTTGGTCATTTATATGATCCTGTGATCTTGTGCTAGTGAACATTGTCTCAGTTGCTCAGCTTCAGAAGTTCTGTTACCTAGTAGGGCAAGATCCTCTTCCTTACTTTTTCTTTAGAAAGGCCTTGTCCTATTCTTGTTTCCTTGGTCTTCCATGTAACTTTTAGAAGTGGATTATCATGTTCTACAATTCTGCTGGGATTTTTATTAAATTACATTGAACCTACAGATTCAATGTAATTTAATAAAAATTTTACATCGTTGTGGTATTTACGATGTAATAAACATAGTCTGTCTGTCTAGCAGTAAACACAGTCTTTCTTTTTCTTAGCTGCTCTCAACAAAATTTTACTATTTTTTCTATAGAGGTTTTGCAATTTATTCCTTGATACTTATTTTCTTTATGGTTTTATAAATGTTGCCTTCTTTTAAATTACATTTTCTAGTTGTTGGTTGCTGGTATTTAGTAATGCAGCTGACTATTGTATATTGAATTTTTTTAAGCCATTCACCTTGCTAAACTCTTGTATTCTTCCATGTTTATAATCAAATCATCAGCAAATGAGGGACACAACTTATAACAAATGAAAATCTATTAAATATATTTCAATCCAGAAGTTCTTACCAGTAATTAAAAAAAAAAAAATCTATAGAGAATAAATTCATTTTTTAAAAAACTGGTAAATAAAGGGAAAAAATCAACCATCTACTCTTCCCATTCTATATGAATTACTGCTTGGTAGCCAAATGATAGCTAAGTGTTCAAACTAATATATGAAAAAGAAATTATATAATTATATTGTTGCTATTTTACAAACCCCTAATGAATTAGTGGGTATAGGAATTGAGCATCATTGGCTGCTAGCATCACAAAAAGAGAGGGACAGCCAAACTTGTGACTACTGATGAACGGACACTTCACCACTTATTATAGTCTTGCAAAAAAGACTGAAAATTGAGCCTGATCAAGACTCCAGAGCCAACAGGTTATTTGCAAGAATACAGAGGACAGGAACATATTGACCTATAATGTTAATACACAGTCAGCACTATCCAGACTGTAGGAAGCTTTACAGGATAAATGACCCAGGTTCTTCCACAGGTAAATTGTCAGAATAAGAAAGAATAAAGGAGGCAACCTGTAGATTAAAAGACATACCAATTTTAAAATAAATAAATAAGCTAGACTATGTGGTCTAGGAATGCACACTTGGGTGATAAAGCTATAAAGACAGACAAGGAAGTGATACTATAAAATCAGAGTAGTGGTTACTTTTGAGAGGAGGAGATTTTAACTGAGATGAGACACATGATGGAGCTTCTGGGAGGGGGCTGGTAACATTCTATTTCTTGACTAGTTGCCTTACACTAATTTCATTAAGACATGTATTTGTGAGATTGTCCTGTATTTGTTTTCTTTTACAATTAAAAGGTTATAAAATGCAGCAAAAAGGCAAACAATGAACTGGAAAGTATTTGCAAAAAAGAAAAATACGTTAAAATTTATGCAAAGTGATAAGAATAATATTAAAACTCCAATAACAGAATTGCAGAGGACATAAATAATTTACAAAATTTTGAGCCTCGTTGAAATAGTTCCCCTCCTTTTGGAAGGTAGGAAGGGAAAGAAACACCTGTGTTATATTCACAGACAGCATTTCTGGAGAAGGAGAAAAGGAAGAAGCTCCATATTAAATGTGCACATTGGTGTAAGATACAGCCTAATATCTGTTGGGGATGTGAGGGAGGACAACAGACCATCTAATAAGTACCCTTCACTAACTGTAGGTTTCTGTCATATGATCCCAAAGTGAACGCAACCCAAAATAATTAATTTGTTTTCTGTTCATGTTGAATTAGCCTTGCAGTTTATAACTTGGAAACATTTTATAATGAGTTATGTTGAATTTTTTTTTTTATACTTCACAGTGAGAGACCTACCACCTGTTTGCCTTGATGTTAGACAGAAGCAGCGCATCTCTGTAGATGCGTTATCATCCGAAATGAAGGCTTCAGCTCCTCCAGAATCTACCTTTCCCATGCAGCCCAAAACTATGAAAGACTTTCAGTAAGTTTCAACTCACCATTATATGTATACATGTAGTCATCTGTGTGGCGGCGCTTTACATAATTTAATATCTTTCTGTGATGAATTAATTGATCATTATCAAGCAAAGAGTGAAGACACAAATGACTAATGTCTCAAGTGAAGGTGAAAACAAGTGTATGAATAATAAGTAAGGGGTAGTTAGGTTTCTAGCCAAAGAAAGGAAACACAAAGAGAATGAATCAAAACAGACAAAAGGAGATAAAAATGGTAATATAATAAATACAATATGGCTTTTTATTAAAAATAATAATAAGAAGAATTTATCTTCTATGTGATACATAGTTTAAAACTGTGTCACCAGTCAGAATCCAAATGGATACTTGAAGGAGGAGTAAATTGGGAATGAAAAAGTAGAGACAGAATTTAGACAAAATCAAGAAGTTTGTCAGTGAAGGGAAGGAAAGAGTGGAAAGTGGAATGCACATATCAAGAATGACCTTTTTTTAAGCAGGTTAGTAAGAAAGGTGAAGGTGAATTAATATCTTAACCTAGTTAAAAATTATAAATTCATAAACTGTATTTTCATTAACTAACTGGCATATATTTCTATATTCAGTTTCAGTATTTCAAAGCACATATATATCCGGTGACTTTTTTTTAATAAAGAAGTAATGCTGTTTTTATCTGAGTAATATTTATATCTATAAATGGATAATGTATGTTCTTATTTTAGGGAAGATGTAGAAAAGGTTAAGTCATCAGGAGATTGGAAAGCAGTACATGATTTTTATCTAACAGCATTTGATTCTTTCCCCGAACTAAATATCGCATTTAAGGTAATAATCCGTAAAACATTTTAAATTCACTTTTAGTTTTAAATTTTTCCAAAAATGATATGATAAATTTATCTTATTTTCTACATAATACTGACTTAAGTACTGTTTAACCAAATGCATACGTAATTTATTTCTGAAATTATATGTATCATGAAAAATCAAATATTACTTAAGTGACATCACAAAAATTTTTATTTATATTGTTTTTATTTATAGTGTTAATGTTTGACTCCATTCTTTCAGTTTTATAAAAGAAGGTTATTAAAATCATTCTTATATATGTATTTATTTTTATTTTTAGCAATTTGGCACAAACAGTTCATTTTTGCCATCAGATTAAAAATAGTAGAAATTATAAATGTATAATGATGGTTCAAATATTAACAAGAATAGTCTATAAAATGTTATATGCGCTTAATTATTTAATTGAATTTGCAGAAAGATGCTGCTGCCTCATTTAATACCATTGAAGACTCTGGGATTAATGCTAAATTTGTGAATGCTGTATATGATACTTTACTTAATACTGTAAGTATCACTTACGAACATATGCCAATAGTATCATTCTTTGTCTCTTCTATATTTCAGAAGCAGCTCCACAAATATTGTAAGAATCACCTGTAACATAATTATAAACTCTCTGATGTAATTTTAAAGGAAATTTAGTTTGGAATACTCAGAAAAGTAGCTAATATTTCTCATTAACTAAAAATTAAGCAGGAAGTACTTGTACATCTAGTCTTTGTTTAAGAAAGTCTTTCTAAAATAAAATCTTGTTTCCTTTACACAGCAAAAGGAGGTAGGTTATTTGATTGTATTGGAATTTCATTGATGTATAGATCAGTGGTTTTCAAATTTTAGCATGTGTCAGAATAATAGGAAAGGCTTATTAAAATACAGTTTCAGATTCAGTAGATGTAGGGTGGGACTCAAGAATTTGCATTTCATACAAATTCCCAGATTATGTTGATGTTCCTGATCCAAGAACTACAGTTTGAGAGCCCCACTGCTATAGTCCAGTTTATGAAGAATTTAAATCCTTCCAATCCATGAGCTATTTCCTTCCAGTTTCTTAGATCTTCTTTAATTTCTCTTGGTGTAGTATTTTATAGTTTTCTGGTTAGAAGTCTTCTACATTTCTTGTTACATCAATTTCTAAGTATTTGCTTTTTTTACAATATTGTGACTTCATTTTCTAATTGTTACCAGTGTAGGGATCACATATTTAGCTTTATGTAATAGCCTTGCTACAGTCACTCATTAATTCTAATAGTATATCAGTAGTTTTTTGAATTTTCTACTTACACAGTTCTCTCATTTGTGGAAAATGAGAATTTTATTTCTTTTTTTTCTCCAGTTATTACATCTTCCATGTATGTATATGTTGGAGTTATTGCACTGGCTAGGAACTCTTGCACGGTTTTGAATAAAAGAAGTGATAGCAGACTTTATTGCCTAATTCCTGCTCTCACTACTTTACCATTAAGCATATGAAAACCTCCTTAGCATCATTTGTCATCAGAGACATGGAAATAACCCTACAAACCCATCAGAATTAATAAAATTAAAAAAAAAAACAAACATACCAAGAAGTCATGGGCACCAACAAAAAAAAAATCATTTCAAGCAGGGAGTAGTCAACCTGGTCAGATGCTGCTGGGGTGGATGCATAGTAAGATTTGGACAGAGGATTGACCATTGTCTTTAATAAGATATAGGTCATTGATGACTTTAAGCAGTCATTTCAGTGGAGTTATAGGGAGGAAAGCTTACTTGGTTGAAGAGAAAATGAGAGGAGAGGAAGTAGACATAGTGAGTACAGATGACCCTGGGTTTTGCTGTGAAGGAAGGCAGAGAAATGGAGTAGTAACTGGGATGAGGGATTCTTCATATGAGGAATATATAGTCAGGGTCCTGGCAGGAAACAAAAAAACCACACTCAAATTAGGTAACCGAATAAGTATTATTTTCCTTTGAAGTTGTTACTAGAGTGAGGGAAGCCATAAAAAACAGAACAGTATCCCAGGAGTGAACCTGGCAATGGGCTGTGGAGGAGAGGGCTGTCTTACGGGAGCTGTGACTTTTAGTCAAGGGACACAGCCAGCCTATGACAACCAGCCCATGGTGACCATGCAGGGAGGGAACTGAGGGAACAAATACCCCAACCTCACTCTCCTCCCTTTTCTACCAGTGCTCCCTATTGCCAAACTCAACCAGAAGACAGAAGGCAAAGGAGTCTGGTTGATGCAGTCCTTAGGGGTCAGCCTCCTGGAGCACAGAGCAGGGTGGAGAAGAGTAGATATGGAGAGGCAAATCAGCACAGGTGAGAATTAGTGTGTGGTGTTATACTGAGGGGGGAATGATCTAGTAGAAAGGGAGACATTGATGATGTAGAGAGAAAACAGTAAAAACCAGGTACTTGACAAAGTGAGAGGAAATGAGATACAGGTCCCGTTGGAGAGGTTGGCCTTGATCAAGTGCAGATGCAGGTAAGTTGGCACAAGTGACATAGAGCAGTAAATAAGTTCACTCTGAGTACATCTGCTGTCTGTAGACTTTATAGCAAGGTACTGAGCTGAGAGTGGTGATGAGAAGGACTTGTTAAAGGTTTGAGAGATGAAAGGTTTGAAATAGTTGTCTTGGAAAGGAGGAAAGCACATCAACTAGGGAAATGTTAAGACTGTCGGTATGTGTGTGTCCTTTTGAGATTAGTGGTCAAAAAAGTGAGTCCACGCAGTACTTTTATGTGTTTTTTCTCCAGCAGCCTTCCACTATTCAGGGACAGACATTAAATAAGTGGTTAGTTGAGAAATGTGTTTGCCTCTTAGGAACGAAGTGTCACTGTAAGCAGAGGAAGAGAAAGGAATGATTTATAAGTTGTTAAGAATTTAGCCTAAATGAGTACAGACTAGTGTACAGTTCTAAATGTGTTAGAGGTCAAGATTGGGTTTTTTAAATAAACCCATAGTATAAACTTGTTTCATTGTCATTTACCTCTTTTATTAAAAAAAAAAGAAATGACAGAAATTTTAATGATTATTTGAAGCTGGTGGTACAGTGGTTAAATCATTTGGCTGCTAACCAAGAGATTGGTGGTTCAACTCACCAGCCTGCTCTGTAGAGAGAAGATGAGGCAGTCTGCTTCTGTAAAGATTTACAGCCTTAGAAACCCTATGGAGCAGTTCTACTCTGTCTATAGGGTCACTGTAAGTCAGAATCAACTTGATGGCAGTGGGTTTGGTTTTTGGGTTTCCTAGTTAATGCAGGTTTTGTTTATTATTTATTATAAACTAAAGTACTGTCTATATGTTATTTTCATTCATTCTTATTTTAGATGGTCAGTAGTAAATAAAATTTGTCTTAGTATATAAATTATTAAATTCTAAAAGAAAGTTATTTATGCCTTTTCCAACCTTTTATCTTATATTGAAAAATCTTTATCATGTTATCCTATTTTTATTTAATTATGATTTGGTTGCACTTACTAGTAAATTGTGGGTTTAACTGCTAATTGTAACATGGTACTGGTAGGATTAAATATTTTCAAAATATTTTGTATTGTTAACATAAATACATTATGTAATTATTTTATATTGTTAAACATAGTACTCTTAGACTTGTGTTCATGATTTGATCCTGTCAAACCAGGGAAAGTAAACTTGTTTTTCAGTTTTTTAAAACTACTGTTGGTTATCAAAGGACTGCCATATATAGTTGTACAGGTTACAGCAATCCAGGGACCAGCATTCTCATTGTGTAATCTTACATCATTGTTGCTCCTTAAGGCTCTAAAATGTGAAACTGAATTGTCATCAACTCTGATTTCAGGTATTGAAACAGATCTGTAGATATACTTAACATATAAAAGTCACCTTTTTAAGTAGTTAATTCTAATTACTTTATGCTTTTTCTTTTGCCTGCAGCCTCAAGACATTCAGAAGACGGTATTAAAAGGGATCATTAACAGCTTGTTAAGAGAATGGAAAGGGTAATTATAACCAGTATTTAGCTAATCAATATAAACATTTAATTTAAACATCTCATACATGTTTAATGTATGTGCATGTGCCTGACTCTTTCAGAAAAGATTTTAGTTTAATTATTATAAAAACATAAATCAGAAAGAAATTATAAACTATTCAAGGGCAGCTACAACCCAAAAAGAGGGAAAAAGTTGTGTAGTTACAGAACTTCTAAATGGTAGGGAAGTCAAGACAACTACAAGATAGAATGGACTATTCTTAACTTGGGAAGAAAACTACAAATCACAGGGTAACCTCAAAGAAAAATGATAAATCTTCACATCAAAATTAAAAAAGAGGACCAGCACAAATATTTAGCAAATACTAAAACAATAGCAACGAAGAAAATGATAACACGATTCATAAGCAAAACGAACTCAGCACAGAAAATTATATGAAACAAAGAAATCAACAACACAAAAAAGCACATAACAAAATGACAGCAACAGATTCATACTTGTTAATTACATAGCTAGCAAGGGACTTATCTCTAACATTTATGGAAAACTCCAACGCTTCCAACAGCAAAGGAATTCAGTTGAAAAATGGGCAGAAGACATGAATAGACACTTCACCAAGGAGGATATTCAGGCACCCAGCAAATACATGAAGAGATGCTCATGATCATTAGCCATCAAAGAGATGCAAATCAAAACAACAGTGAGATACCATTTTACCCCAGCACTGATGGCAAGGTTCAGCGGGACAGAAAACAACAAACCTGGTGGAGATGTAGGGAGATTGGGACTCTCAAACACTGCTGGTGGGACTGTGAAGTGATACAAGTGCTGTGGAAAGCAGTATGGCAATTCCTTAGGAAGCTGAAATTGGAGGTACCATTTGACCCAGCACTCCCATTACTAGGTATATATCCTAGAGAGGTGAGAGCCAGGACAGGAACAGATATATGCACACCCATGTTCGTTGCAGCACTATTTACAATAGCAAAAAGATTGAAACAGTCTACGAGCCCATCAGCGAAGAATGGATGACCAACCTATCAGTGGAATGTTAAGCAACACTAAAGGATAATGTAGAGTATGCACAACACTGCATAACATGGATGAACTTGGAGGACATTATGCTGAGTGAAATAAGTCGATCACAGAAGGACAAATACAGTAATAGTTTGTTGTTGTGGAGGGTCAAGGAAAGGTTTATATGTGGAGGGAAACTTTCTGTGTTGGTTGCTGGGGTGGGAGGGAAGGGAACACTGCAAAAAATAAGACCGTTAGACTCTCTGTATATTTATCTTTACGTAGAAAATTTTGAAGGCCTTTATGGGATATACATTTAAATTTACCCAAAGTAATTTTGTTACTTTGTCCTTGGAAACAAAAATAACTCAAAACTCTTGGAATTTCCTAAGTAATTGAAGTGCCTTTGAAATTTAGACCACACCTGAGGGTTTGTGCTAATGAGTGGAGTCTGGCCAGTTGACAGAGATCACCAAGTGGCCTACTAACAGCTGGTATCAATCAATCATACCTATGATTGCTTCCTCATTGGTGAAAGACATTCATATACTCAGGAGGGTAGCTTGCCTTTTGGGACATGGAAGCTCTCTGGGAACCCTCCCAGATCTTACCCTGTGTGTCTCTTCTTAATGCTGATCCTAATTTGTATCCTTTGTAATAAAGCGGTAATGATTTAAAAAAAGAAAGAAAAATTATAAACTGTTTACAGCAGAGCTTTTAACTTGAGAATCTGTAGCTTCTTAGAAGGATCTATAGATGGGCTTCAGAGGGCCTATGCAAAATAAATAATTATTTAGTCAAGATAATTCCTTCACAAAAGAATATTATCATTGACTGCTTAAAATATGCTTATTTATTTCAAATTTAAATGCATATATTTATTTCAGTTCATATAACTTTTCATTTTTTTAAAGGTGCATCTAAGTATATTTTAAGCAATAATTTATGTTTTTGGATTTATTTTGTAACTTTAACAGAAAAGTAAATAATCATTTGGTCACTTAATTTTCTGAAAGGAAATTGAAAGAAGTACTTGGAAGTGAACCATTTTTTTTCCCCCAGATTTTAATTTTGAAAAATTTCAAACTACAGAAAGTTAAAGAATAGAATGAACACTCATGCCTTTCAACTTGAGTCACATTGACATTTACATTTTCCTCTGGGTGTGTGTGTAATTTTTTTAGTAAGTTGAAGACATCATGAAATTTCACCCAAATTACTTCAGCATATATTTCCTTAGAACATATTCCTACATCTCACACCAAATAAATTTAACAGTGATAACAGTAATATTCTCTAAAATGCCATCCTTATTTAAATTTGTCCTGTTGCCGCAAAAGTGTTCTTTAATATACAAGTTTTATTTTTCAGTTCAGGATCTAGTCAAGGGTTTTGAATTACATCTAATTATCATATTAAGACAACAACAACAAAAAACAATGACATCAACGTGATTCCGATTCATAGCAAATTGTCATATAGGTAAACCATTTGTAATTCAAGAAGCTACTCGCTATTTGTGAGAGGATGTCAGATACATCTTGAGAGGATAAGAAGAGATACTTATCAACTTTGGGAATAACAGAAACTCTTAGTCAAATCTGATAAGGTGAAAATCCAAACTAACATGAAAAACATTAAAAATTAGTTACTAACTTTTCAGAAGTATTCAAATTATGATTCTTTCCATTAGAAACATCCTAGATGTATTTAAAGCATCATTTGATTTACAGACATTTCTAAATATATTACTTCAGGAATGTATTCTAAAGTGAAGATTTCAGCAATCCTTTATTCAAGCAAAACTATAGTGTCCTGAAATTGTTGATTATTTATAAGACTGTTTCCAGATTTAGTCATGATACTTACTTACACTACAAAATGTTATATAGCCTGGTTAACTCAGTCTTTAGGGATCTTCAGAACCAGCCTAGAGTAAGCATAAAGGAACTTGTATTCCCTATATTAATAATTCGTTTCCTGTCTCAGTAAGAATACCTATTTAGTCTAGTTTTTTGGCTTTATCTACTCAGTTCTCACAGAAACATTTATTGTTCATTTTTTTTATTAGATACTGTGAGATGAAACATTAATCCATAATCAGGTATGCTTGTTTCTTTTTTTCAGTCCACGAACAAAAGATGATCTTAGAGCATATTTTATACTGTTACAGGTAAGAAAGCAAGAACTTAGTTGAAGTTGTCTATTCAGATCTCAGTCCTGCAAATATAAGTGAAATAATATCAAATAATAGATACTATTTTTGAGCAATATATTGATAATTTATAGAATTATAGTTATTTGTGACCAGAGGATTAAAGCTGTAACAAATAAACAATGGAAGCTAAATCATCAACAAGATTAAATTTTTAATTTCATTCTTAACTACCTGTATGGTATTCAGAGACAGACAGAATGGAAGCCCTTCTTCCTCCTCCATTCAACCTTCCTTCTTGTAACAAGGGCTCCCAGGACCTTTTTATTTTTCCAACTAGTAGGTTTCTAATTTGCTATGTATTTTTCAGTAGTACTGAAGTTAGAATTCTAGTAGAAACACAAAGTTTATTTCTATTTGCTAAAGCAAAGATGGTGAACTTTTTCCTCTTGAGAGATACAGATTTAGAAATGAAAATAATCATCATCTATGGCCCAGACAAATAAAAATCAATTTTCAGTTTTTTATTTTTTTGAGAAGGAAATGTGTTACTGCCATAGCTGGCTTGCTATATGTCTATTAATCCTTTACAGTTTTCAGAAGTGTTCAAGAGTGTATTATAATCTCATTTAAAGATAGGAATAAATTTATATTAAATAAAATGTAGTGTTTAGTTCAATGTTATGTCCCATAAAATGAAATAGGTGGAGTGAAGTGAGAGGAAAGGGGAGAGAGGAAAAAAGAAAAACTGAGGGGGAAAAAATAGGGAGAAGGAAATCAGTGGTGAAGAGGCAGTTAAGAAGAGATGTAAGGAGGGGTGATAGAGAGGTAGGAGAAGAAGGAGGGAAAGCTAGGAGAAAAAAAAAAGGAACATGAAGAGATTGTGAAAGCAAGACAAATGGCAGCATGCAGGTCAGATTTTAGGTAAGTGTATTAGCAGCAAGCCCTGTTCATAATACCCTGTTCTTTTCATGAGCCATCCCTAGATGAAGCTACCAACTGGGGCCCTCCGCAATTTGAAACTGTCTGCCAGTAAGTCAGTTTTGAAAAGCACACGGTGTCCTTCTATTTTTTTCAAAATTTTAGTTTATGTCTAAGTAATACTCATTTATCCATGAGGTTCAGAAATGTACATTTTGATAGAGTCTTGGGTTTTGGAAAAATAACTGCAGGTTTTGCTTAGTTTACAAGCAGTATCCCTTTAACATGTATAAGTTGTCAGATCTATTAGGTAAGCCTCCTCTTACTCTCTGCGAGATAAAGGGTACCTCATTACATGGTGACTGAAGTTTCACAACCAGCTTTTATTTAATTTTTCTAACATTCTTTTTGTTGTTGTTTAGATGCATGGTGATTGTCACCATTTATAAAGTGCTTACTTCATACCAGCACTGAGCTAGTTGCTTTACATACATTTTCTTTATTATTACTGAAAACAGCTCCTAAGATAGACATTATTATTCTCATTTTACAGGTGAGGAAACTGAGAATCAGAGTTTAAGGTACACACTAGCACAAAGCTAGTAAGTGGTAAAATTAGTCCTAGACCCACATCCCTTTTAATTCAGAGCCCATATTCTTTCTACTGTAAATCAAAGTCTCTTTGTTAGATGAATAACAAGTAGATTATTGTTTCAAAGGATATTCCCCTAGTATTTCATAGTCTCAAATTGAGCTTTCATGAGTTTACAACATACCTCATTAAGGTTAGTGTCTTTTACATGTTACAACATTTTAATACAATTATCTTTAATATCTTTTTCAGAATCCTCAATTTAATAACACATCTACGTACGTCATCTATGCTCACTTGCTACGACAGATAGCTACCTTAGTGGAAGCTGACCACCATTTCCTAGTTCACTGGCTTAAAAAGTAAAGCCTACTATGATACTAAGAACTCTTATAAAAGGACAGTTTTAAGTTTGATTTTTATTAATAATTTTACAATAAAATATGTTTAAATGTTTTCAGCTCTTTAATTATAAAAATATTCTTTAGTTCTACCTAGAAGATGATTGAAAATCTATTTTTAAAGTACGTAATGATTTTGCTTGTCTAAGCTGCTGTTAAGAATCTCCGTCCAGTCCTCCTCCTTTCTGTGCAGCACATTGCTACTCTTGACTTGTCATATATCTCAGAGGTGGTGACTGGGTTTGCTCAGGCATCACTCTCTTAAGTCTTGGTATTTTCTGTCTGTATATCAGTAAATCTTACCATAGTTTTACATGGTGCCTTCTCTTTACCTCAGAAGGTTGTGTACAATCAGGGCTAGCCATCAGTATCAACTTGTAAAAGTACAATCCTTGTAACTTATAGAGTCACATTAACAATGACTTTTCTCCATGATTAATAAAAGTTGAATGAGGCAAAATATTTCTAAAATTAATTTTAAATATTTTGAAAGTCTTAAAAAATAAATATGTTTGATACTAACATCATAGCAATTTTGGTGTTTATTTTTTAGGAAAGTAAGATTTCAAGATAAAAATTGTGACCTTTCAAAGTCTGAGCCATTTAAGAAATAGAATTTTGGAGAATGTCTAGAGTTTTATGTTTATAAGATGTAATTTGATACCTTGCAAATATGTTGCCAAAATAAAAAAATGTGAATTTTGATTGGAGTTATTTCCAAATCTTTACCAGATTATCCCAGAAGAGGTTCAAACAATTGGTAGAAAGATTGCTGCAATTTATTTCTTTACGCCTGTTTCCTGCAAAGCCTGAAGAATTTCCGCCTATAACAAAGTGTTCCTGGTGGATCCCATCAGCATCTAAAGTGTTGGCTTTACTTAGTAGGTTTTGTTTTTATTTTTCTTTTGTTAAATATTACAGATACTTCTTTAAGAATCTCAAGGTACTGTAGAGGCATTATTCAACTTCTGGCTAGTCCTTTGAAGGAAAGAGTTGTAATTTATTTTCTATTTTGATCACGATTTCACAGTTAATTTATAAGCATGAAATAAGCGTTACACCTTCTCTGGGCAGTATTCTGTATTATGGCAAATGGCCTGGTAAAGTAACAATTCCTCAGAAAATAAGAACTTCCATTAATTGCTAGGACCCCTTGGAAAAAGCACACTGGTGGGAAAATAGTATGGGTTGATGGCCATCTGTATACTCACTTCACTACCACAAGTATTTTCAAAAAGCAAGAAATTGTTGGCTACATTTTGACTGTAATTTAAAAGTTACCTTTTCTGTTTGAAGCTACAGTTGTTTGAAATAGGGATTTCTTGATAAAGGCTGTGTGGTGGACATTAAAATGATCTTTTCATTAGTGGAATAACATGTGTATGTTTAGAAACATCATTATGTTATGATTTATCTTTACAGATACGGCAAACAGTTTGGTTCACCCTTCCCTTATTTCTTATACTGATTTCTATAATTCTACATTGGATCATATTGATCTCATGGAGGAATATCATACCTGGCAGAGCTTTGGAAACTCTCACAGGTAAGATTGAAAACTCATTTGATTTCTCACCTAAATGAAATACTGTTTAAAACAGTGACTTAATAAGTATGTATAAATAAAGTACAATATATATATACAGTCACATATAAACTTACAATTAAGATATCCAACATTGGAATATCATAATATTTCTTTAAAGCATTTTCTTTTTCTGTTACCATTTTGAATTTATGTTAATTTTATTTTGGTTTGGTTAATAGCATCTTTTCAAGAAGGGAACAGCTCTCTCTGGAAAGGCCTAGGTAGTATGTATGTTCAGCTTTGCAAGCCGTATGGACTCTGCTCTGTTCTGCCATTGTAGTACAAAAGTAGCCTTAGATAATAAGTAAGCCATTGGGCATGGCTGTGTCCCAGAAAAAAACTTTATTTTAGAGCACAGGGGATAGGCCATATTTGTCCCAATGCCTAATCTGGCACAGTCAACAGTTTTTGTCTTTTACATGTACTGTATAAAGAATATAGGAGCTCTGGTGGCATAGTGCCTAAGGCATTTGACTGCTAATCAGAAGGCTGGCAGTTCAGACTCACCAGCCACTCCCCAGAAGGAAGGTTGAGCAAGCTACTTCTGTAGTGATACCACCTCGGAAACCCAAGGAGGGGTCCCTATGAGTCAGATGCTACTGGCAGTGAGAGTACATGAAGAATGTTGTGTTACAGATTTGTTTATTAATACTGTAGTACAGTAGATTTTCAAAATACCTGACCAAAGTCTTTATGCACCTCTAGTTTGGATTAAATTGGCAAGACTATCCCAAATATACTATTGCCAGACCATGTAATCCAAGAGATTGCATATATTTTAGAGGACACTCACTAAAAGCTATGGCATAGGTATAAAACCCCAGAGTAGTTCATGAATTGGTTCAACTTGCCAGGAACCTCTCTACCAGAATTGGCCTAAAATATAGAATGACCTTCTAGGTGTATCTTGGTCTATACCTGAACCCTCAGAACGGAATAAGAATTCAGTGTCTGGGGACCTTGGTCAGTCTGATGGATGTTTTCTTAGCAAAGTTTTTTTTACTAAGATGATTTTTTCCTCGTGTTTTGATGCAATTACAATGCTACGGACAAAATCACAGAAGAACTCCAAGAGTTACTGTGCATATTTTAGTGACATCTTTTAATGCAGAGTGTCCCCTAAGAATAAGTTACATGGGAATTTTGATCCTGTGATCCCTTCAGCCTTTGGACTGCCCTCTAGACCTGGGGAAGACCTAGGACCCTAAGGCAAGTTACCTCTGGCAATTTGTGGTATGACAAGGGAGAGATTGCGAAGCACTTTTTTAATGTACGTAATATGACCAATATTGTATCTTACTAAGTTCATTGCATTTTCTCTTCATTCCCTAAATGTTAGTTAGCATTTAGTGGTCTGAAATTATTGCACATAGTGCTGTTGTTTTTTTTTTAAAACAATTTCATTCCAAGGGGAAAGCATATTGTTTGTAGTACACACAAAGACTAATTCCTTATTCCTAATTATACCCTATGGTCATACATGCACCATTTAAACATACTTGGATGAATCTCACCTACAACTGGATGGAGTCATTGCAGTCACTTTTGATGGGAGTCTTAAGTCCTGAAGTGTCTACTGCCATACTAAAAACTCACTGCTCGAGTCTAATCTGACTCATGGCAACCTGTCTTTGGGTTGCCGAGGTGGTATCTCTACAGAAGTAGATTGCCCAGTCTTCCTTCTGAGGAGTAACTGATGGGTTTGAACACTAGCTTTGTGGTTAGCAGTCGATGTCTTAAGCACTACACCACCAGAGTTCACAATGCATTTCGCTGTGGTTGATGGCTCTTGTTTATAACCAAATGAGCAGTGACCCAAGAGGAACATTATGTTCATAACCCTTAATTATAATGTGTCTTTATAAAATACACTATTTCATATTTCTACACCTTTAAATTATGGTACTAACAGCAACATACTTTTTTCCAACTTTTATTTTGTTAGTCTTCATTGTGTTACTTTGCTTTTTACCCACTGTAGTCACTGCTCCATTTCCTCAGTTTTGAAGCTCACACATCAGAAATAGCCTTGTAATAGTGAATTCTTTTATTAAATTGAGCCTATGACTTTTCTGTGCTAATCCTCCTTCATCAACACTTCTGCAGCCTGGTTCTTGTGTTGGCCATGTTTTTCACAGGTAATGATATACAGATTATTATAAGTAAATAAATTATTTGTGTAAATATAAATGATAAGCACATATTTCATGTGCTAATTAGATGTAGCTTCCTTTACAGAATAAAAGCATTGCACATCTAGTAATTAAAAGAAAATATCCACAAAAAACCATTTTGTAAATGGTAAAATACAGTATAAAAGTAATGTTTTATATTGCTAGAAGGGATACGTCTTTGCTAAAAACACACCATTTTGTTTTTGTTTCACTTGTTGAGCAGGTTTTCCTTCTGCCAGTACCCATTCGTTATTTCTATAGCTGCAAAAAAAATCATTATTCAAAGGGACTCAGAACAACAGATGATAAGCATCGCAAGGGTAAGCCAGCTATGAAAACATATTTATGTTGATGATAATCAATATAATAAATTCAATAAATAAGTCAAATGTTTTGTGACTTGTTCTAACGTAACCAGTAAATATTAAAAGTAAAATTCGTATTATTTTCCCAAAAAAAGTGCTTAAGCCTGTTGAAGATACAAGAAACCATACTCCCCTCAATCATCTTTCCTAAATCACTTCTCCTTATACTTGTAAATGTAGCAGGAAGATTAAATGCCTCACACACAGACCCAAATACTGGGAGCTTATTGGACATCATTTTGTAGAGATCATTCTCCATCTCCAGGTAACCAGCAAAGCATTGATGAGAGCTCCATGGAGTTGGGGTGTCCTTAAGAACAAACCCCATAAACCTCTGAAACATATTCAAAGTTTTATGAAAATCAAGTGGAAAAACCAGAAAATTACAAGATGTAACAAAAAGTCTATCTCTTGGAGAACTGAGAAGTAAACCAAAGAAGGTGAAAGATGTTATATTGATTTGTAGGAAACCAAGCTGTATGAGGCCTGCAGAAAGTGGGAAAGCAGGCTGATTTTAGGCAAATAGTGGAGCAGGTTATTTGCCAGTGGGCCTGCCCTTACCACTTCATCCCACTCATTTCATTGCCATAAAACCTATTGCCTTAGATCGATTCTGACTCATAATTACCCTGTAAGACAGACTAGAATTGTCCCATTGAGTTTCCAAGGCTGTAATCTTTAGGGAGGCAGACTCAAGCATGCTTCCCAACCCCTGCAGAGCAGCCGGTGGATTTGAACTGCTAAACTTTTAGGTTAGTAGTGAGCACTTAATACAGTGCCACTAGGGTTCCTTTTCATTGCCATACAGTACAATAAAGTTATACACATTATCTGACATCAGAGAAAATGACTTATTACAGCTTTAGACTCTACATTTAAATGCTTGGTTCACCTAGAGTGTTCCTTACGTATTTTGAGCATCTGTTTTTGAGGCATGATTGTCTACTTACCGTATTTTAACTTTAAAAAATTAGAAATAAACTTGGCTGTAACTTCTTAAAATAAAAACTGAAGGATAGGGAAAAGGGAAATGATATCCATGTCTTCTCCAAAAATAAAAAAAGAATTCTAAAGCATAAATTATAATACTTCAGAATACTATACCAAAAAAAAAAAAAAAAACCCCAACTCACTGCCATCAAGTTGATTCCGACTCATAGTGACCTCCATTGGGTTTCTGAGTGGAAAATCTTTACAGAAGTAAATTGCCCATCTTCCTTCCGAGGAGTGGCTGGTGGGTTTGAACCACCAACCTTATGGTTAGCAGTCAAATTCCTTGGGCACTATGCCACCAGAGCGCCTTTTAGAACAGTATTAAAAAAAACAAAGAAGAAGAGAAAGTTGCTTATCCCTCAGTAATTCAGTTCCCAGAGGTGTTTTTTTTTTTTTTTTTACCTATCAGAGAGTGGAACAAAAGATTTGAGTGACTAGTAACATCCCAAAGTCAGCTTCTTCTACTGAGTGTGGGAATATTAGAGGAAATGGGGTTGCTATGCCTACCAAGGGAATTTCCAAGCCACACTAGTCCCTGAATGAGTTTAAATAGGTATATTTAGCACCAGAATTATTAATCCTGGGTGGATACTGGCTCAAAGACAAATTACATTCTAAAAGGTAGATTAATTATGCTTTTAGAGTAAATTCAGTATTTTTTTAAAAAAAAGAAAGCCTAAGCCTAGGTTTATCATAAATAACGCCTTGTTTTAAATATTCTCATTTATTTTTATTTTTCCATTTGTAATTATTAAACAAAAAACTTTGCTACTTAAGAAACGAGTCATAGGGAAATGTAATACACTATTACTTAATATAGAAGGTGAATTGTTTTTAGTCCTCCATTTTGGATTCCCTTTGGGTATCATAAGGAGCTCTGGTGGCATAGTAGTTAAAGCATTCAACTGCTGACCAAAAAGGTCAGTGGTTCGAACCCACCAGCCACCCTGTGGGAGAAAGATGAGGCAGTCTGCTTCTGTAAAGATTTACACAGCCTTGGAAACGCTACGAGGCGGTTCTACTCTGTTCTAAAGGGTTGCTGTGAGTCAGAATCAACTTGATGGCAATGGGTAGTTTGGGTATCATTGTTCTGATGATAAGGCATTTTCATAAAATTGATATTCCTATGTTGTGGATTTCTAGGACAAAATTGTAGCAGTATTGATATGTTATAATTGCATTTCAGAAATTGTTCACATAGGAGATGACACAGACATGAATATAAATGATTTTTTAAGTGTCTAATGTTTTAAATGAAATTATCATTAGATGAAAGTAAAAATGTTTGCTTTCTCATTTAATTAGCAAAGTCTGGTGGATAAAGTATCTCGAAGACAGAGACCTGATATGAATATGTTATTTCTAAATATGAAAGTAAGGCGGACACATCTGGTTAGCGATTCACTTGATGAGGTATAGAGAATTTATTCCAAAATAGTGTTAATTGATTAAGACTTTAAATAAATTCTGTGATATAGTTTATTATTGAAATCTTACTAAGCTGTTTTTTTATTCCTTTATGCTAATAAGGATACCTCCTCATATTTTGATACCATAATTAAAATTAGTTCTATATTCATATTACAGAATTTAGCCTTATATTCATGTTTTTTGTATGTATATTAATGTTTTTTGTTGTTAACTCCCTGCAAGAGAATTTGATATAGAACATTTAAATGAGTAGTTCCTGTTTCTGAGAATATAGCGTGGATTCTAACCCCACCTTTGTCACAGGTTAGGTAACGAGTCATTTTTACTTCTCCAAGCTTCCTATTACTTATCTGTAAAATTGGGAATCTGACCCAGATGGTACACTAGGTCTTTTCAGATTCAAACGTATTATTGTATGTATATGTGCATAGTGTTTCAGCCAGATCTTCATGGATCTATTAGTAAGTAATGGCTGATTTAGCTATTTTTAAAAGTTTAGTGTTGAAGGAGCATTAAAGAGAAGGAAATTAAATATTTTATATTATAGGCTGCTAAATTAAAATTTTGGACACAATATGACACCAGGAGGTAGTAACCTTGGGCAAGTAACCTGACCTCTCTAATTGTGCTCCTGATCTGTGAAACAAACATAACGATACCAAGCCCATACAGTGTTTGCACATTTATTGAACAAATGAATGAATGAATGAATAAACAAGCCACAAACAGAATTTTGTGACATTGTAAATGAGATAAAGACTACCTAACACATTCCCCAGATTTAAAACAACTTAATTGCTTTTTCACTGCCCTTTGTTGTTCTCCACTATATAATTTCTTCTAATAGTTAACCCGGAAAAGAGCAGACTTGAAAAAGAAATTGAAAGTTACGTTTGTAGGGGAGGCTGGTTTGGATATGGGTGGATTGACTAAAGAATGGTTCCTTCTTCTAATTCGCCAAATTTTCCATCCAGATTATGGTGAGTACTTTTCTAATTTTTAAGAACAATGTTGCTTCATAATTGTTAGATTCAACTAGTCACCGTTATTTTTAACCTACCCTATGATTTTGCAGATTTTTTATCAACCATAAATACTAAATTTTTTAAAGGAGTATTATTTAAATTTGTAATTTATTTAACCAAACTGATGACCTAAATGTTAATTCTTTCACTGGGGATCCCACACAAACTGTATCAAGCCTGAAAGTATGCATTTATAAAGAAACAGGCCTCTCTAGCTTTGCTGAATAAACTAAAGGCATGAAAATGTAATTTTTCATTGGAAAAAAGAATATTTGAAAATTTAAAAAAGCTATAACTTATACTAATATTTGAAGCCTCTTTCATTAAATAATGAGCCATTTTAATTAAGAATTCCTGAATTTTTTTTAAGAAAATATCTTTGAAATTTAAATTTGATTTTTCTTTTATTTAGAGAAATCATCAATATAACTCTTAGTATTTGTTAAGTATTTTTCTTCAAAGGAGAATTTTAAGTAGTTCTTACTCTCTGTTTATATATACATAATATATAAAATAAAATTGATTGATTTAATTTAGTTTCCATCATTTTAGCCCTATTACCACCCTTGGTTCAGGATGCCAATGAACAATAGAATGTGCTCACACGTGCAGTCTACATTTATATTTTATAGATTTTTATTATGCATATATATTTGTATTTATTGAGATTTACAAATACATGGTCCCTCAAATAGAGAATCTATAAAATTTTTAACATTGAAGATGGCTTGTAACTATTTCCTGCAATGTTTTCTTCTAATAGATGAAATGTCATGTACATTTTACCCCTCAGATTTTAGCAGTCATTAATAGTAAAATTATGTTTCTTTTTTTCAGGCATGTTTACATACCACAAGGATTCACACTGCCATTGGTTTAGCAGCTTTAAATGTGATAACTATTCTGAATTCCGATTGGTTGGAATTGTATCCTTTAAACTTTCCACTAGGAGGTGCTGATAGACTAGGGATAAGAATTTTTATCTATATTTTAGAATAATGTATTTGACAATGTCAAATTTCCTAGTAGATTTTCATTAATCTTTATAATATCACAACTATATAATGTTAGTAGATTGAATTCTTATTCAGAGGAATGCCTGAGATTTAGGGTTTTTTTCTTCTTAAAAAACCTTATCTCAAATAAAAAGATTATTTCCTATTTCACATGTAACCTATATTATCAGAAGTCTGAAACATTTTTAAAAATCAAGGTATCTTTTCTAATCATGTTGAAATTTTGTTGTTGTTGTTAAATTCTTTCACCTTATGCTTATTTTCACTCCTTTTACTAAATTATGAAGTCTTGGGTTGTCCAAACATTAACATGCTTGGCTGATAACCAAAAAGTTGGAGGTTCAAGTCTATCTAGAGGCACCTTAGAAGAAAGGCCTGGCAATCTGCTTCCAAGAAATCAGCCGTTGAAAACCCTGTGGAGCCCAGTGCTGCCCTGACACACACGGGGTCACATGAGTCAGAACCTAGCCCACAGTACCTGGCGACTAAGTTGAAATTGTAGGAATAAAATCTAACCCTTTAACATGCCCCCAAATCAAGAGATGTGAGAGAAGCATCCATAAAAATTTAGTGGAATGGGAATATTTAAAGCATATAGCATTATTTTATTATGTTTCTTAAATTAGATAAATTCATATGCCATCATCTGATCTCCATCAGGTGTATTGTAGAGGAAGTTCCTACATCGAGTCAGAAGGAAAGAGTAAAGGAGGGAAGAGCGAGTAAATGAGCAGGCACTGGGAATACATAAGTTAAAAGAGGCGCAAGAAATAACACCTTCAGAAAGCTTACCATCTAAACGAACAGATGAGCACCAATACAAAGTAGTTTGTTCTCAGAGTCAAATGACCGTGTGGGCATTAAGTGCTAAGGAGTTCTGAGAAGGAAAGCTTTCCTTGTATTCCTGCGAGAGGTGGTAGCAATTAATACATGGTGTGATTAACACAGAGAGAGTAGGACGTTATAGGCTGAGAGAATGGCTAGGGAAAAGAGGCTGAATTATGCTGGACCCGTTAACAGAGCAATGAGTAGGTCCACTTGATTGAAGCAGAGTGCACACTGGGAGTTAAGAAAGGTACCGTCAGTAAAAGATGGAAGCCATCTTATGGAGGGCTTTGTATATTTATCTTTGTTATATTTATTGAAATAGATCCTGATGAATGTATATGGAAATAGAGTGAGTGAATAGAATAAAAAGTATTAGGGACAAAATGACACATTGAGATGGTAAAGTTAATTAAACATTTTGTATATATTGTCATGTCTAAGTGTCCAAAGTGCTAAGTTCTAAATATAGAAGAATGTTTAACAATTCTTAATAAGACTCCAGTTTTTATCCTGTTGTCTGCAGTATCATTTGTTAAATGTTTCAGCTTCTTTTAAGGGTCATTGATGTTTCTCACTCTATGAATTGTTTGAATTTCTCCATATACATCTTCATCATGTTTTACATTCTTATCACAACTTAGATTCAGGTGATATATTAACTATTATTTGTAATAATGTGTTAGATCTTACTTAGCTAAAACATTTTTTAAGTGGTTGTAAGGAGCTCTGGTGGTGTAGTGCCTAAGGCACTTGACTGCTAACCAGAAGGCTGGTGGTTCAAACCCACCAGCCACTCCTCGGAAGGAAGGTTGAGCAGTCTACTTCCGTAGTGATACTGCCTTGGAAACCCAAGGAGGGGTCACTATGAGTTGAATCCGACTTCACTGCAGTGCACTGCGTTTGTTGCATTTATACTTAATAAAACTCATGAATGTGCTATTTTCTTTTGCCATAGACATTAGTTTCTATTCAGTCATTACCCAGAGTAAATAAAGCATTATTGGATGTTGCATATTTCAAGCTAAACCACTAAATCTAAAATTAATTTATTATAACCATTAAACCAAAGAAAACCAAACTCACTGTCATCAAGTTGATTCCAACTCATAACAACCCTCATTGGATTTCCAAGGCAGTTGCTTCTTTAGGTTGCCCTGTCTGCCTTCTTCAGAGTAGTTGGTCGGTTTGAACCACCAGCCTCTGATTAGCAGTCAAATGCCATAGGCACTACATCACCAGAGCTCCTTATAACTATTACTACCGCATAATTGGGAGCTCTGGTAATGTAGTGCCTAAGGCACTTGACTGCTAATCAGAAGGCTGGCAGTTCAAACCCACCAGCCACTCCTTGGAAAGAAGGTTGAGCAATCTATTTCCATAGGGATAGCGCCTCGGGAACCCAAGGAGGGGTCATTGTGAATCGGGACTGACTCGACGGCACATAACAACACCACCATTTTGTTTATCTCACAAAAATGTAAACTAGAGAAAGCAAGATTGATTTTCTATAAAGCATGATACTTTGCAGGAAAGACGTGAGATTATAGTGGATTGTGATCATGTAAGTGGCGGAAAATCTTCCAAGTGAGAACTGAAAATTAAGAAATCGCAGGCGTGGCCATTGAGAAAGTGTAGTTGGTTCTGTACATATTTCCAGTTTTTAAATTTCACAGCCAAAAATTTGTTGTTCAGTAGTTATGACAGTATTGTGTGTCTCATACAATTGTTTTTAAATATGATAAGACCTTGGAGTTTACTGTAAGTATAAACTGTACAGTAAAGCCTATAATAATACTTGTAAAATGTTTAGAAGATAATATAAGAACCATAATATGACAGTTTCTTAAAAGTAGAATTACCTATACCAGAAGGGGCATTGGCCCTGAGTATAGTACAGTGTAGGATTTTCAAACTCTGCTCTGTTTACAACGCATGATGCCTCAGTGGCTCCAGCAGGAGAATTTCCCCAACCCCACCCCTGCTTCAACTAGAGCAGGTTGATTTAGTGTCAAAGGAAGCATTATACTTGTGCATATGAAAGTTCCCTGTAGCAAATTGTATGAGCCTATTTCCTCATCTATTACTCACCACTACCACCACCAACACCCCCCCCAAAAAAAAAAACTACCTTCAGGGTTATAATAAAACTTAAACTAAAAGATGCTTGGAACAAAGTACCATAGTTTGTTGTTGTTAGGTGCCATCAAGTCATCTCCAACTCATAGTGACCTTATATACAACAGAACGAAACACTGCCCAGTCCTGTGCCAGACTCATAATCCCTGCTATACCTGAGCCCATCATTGTAGCCACTGTGTCAATCCATCTTGTTGAGGGCCTTCCCCTTTTTTGGTGAACTTCCACTTCACTAAGCATGACATCCTTCTCCAGGGAATAGTCCCTCTGGCAACATGACCAAATTCTGGCCATTTTTGCTTCCAAGGAGCAATCTGGCTGTACTTCTTCCAAGACAAATTTGTTCATTTTTTTAGCAGTCCGTGGTACTTTAAGTATTCTTCACCAACAGCACAACTCAAAAGCATCAACTCTTCTCTAGTCTTCCTTATTCATTGTCCAGCTCTCACATACATATGCAAAAAAAAAAAACTCACTGCCTTCTAGTCGATTCGACTCAAAGCAACACCTCCTTGGGTTTCCGAGGCAGTATCTCCATGGAAGTAGATTGCCCAATCTTCCTTCCAAGGGGTGGCTGGTGGATTTGAACCACCAGCCTTCTGGCAGGCAGTCAAATGCCTTAGGCACTATGCCACCAGCGATTGAAAATACCATGGCTGTGTAGTAAGAGCTGACAAGGGACAAGGTTGTAGTCACTTCTTGGTCACAGCCAGCTACCCAGAGGGACCAAGTAGTTGAACCAGTGGGCTCAGGACCATAGTCACAGGGGACATTGAGCTCAATTGGCATAATGTAGTACACAAAACATTGTTCCACCTTCTACTTTGCCGAATAGTGACTAGGATCTTGAAAGCTTACAAGCAGCCATCTAGATGCAACGATGGGTCTCTCCTCATCCAGAGCAAAGAAGAAAGAAGAAAACCAAAGATTCATGGAAATAATTAGCCCTGGTAACTGATATACCATGCGATCCACAACCTATACAACTGTGAGACCAGAAGAATTAGATGGTGCCTGGCTACAACTGTCAACCACTTGGAGGGGGATCCATGTAGGAGGATCTGGGTAGAGAGGGAGAACAATGTGGAACAAAACTCAGAATCATTTGGGGAAAAAAAAAAAAGTGTGTGGGGGGACCAGGTTTGCTGGTCTGATAGAGCCTGGTAGAACCCCTGAGACTATGGCCCTTAGCTGCCCTTCAGGTCTGGAATTGAACCCACACCTGTGGCTTCCAGCCAAACAAAAGACGGGCGTATGAGTTGAACATTAACCTGAGGTAGATACACTCCTTGGACAGAACAATCACGGGAGAAAGAAGGGCTGCTTATGCACAGGGAGACAGCTTAAGGGGCAGGAGTGCATGGAGGGATGGACACTGGGAAGAGGTAACTATGGGGAGGAAGTGGGAGGAAAGCTGTTGCATTGGAGTAAATTGTAGTCGATGTCATGAGACAAAGTGTATGTGAACTGCTGTATGGAAAGTGAATTTGCTCTGTAAATTTTCACCCAAATCACAATTTTTAAAAAAAGAAAGAAAACAGGAGCTTTTTTTTTTTTTTCCAGATGAAGTCAAAAGAAAACAAAACCAAAAAAAGTATCATGGCTTGGGTTAGGCGTACCTTAGTCTTCAAGGAGACATCTTTTCTCTTCAGCACTTGAAAGAGGTCTTTTGCAGCAGATTTGCCCAATGCAGTACGTCTTTTCATATCTTGACTGCTGCTTCCATTGGTGTTGATTGTAGAACCAAGTAATATGAAGTCTTTGACAACTTCAGTCTTTTCTCCATTTATCGTGATGCTGCTTATTGGTCCGGTTATGAGGATTTTCTTTTTCTTTATATTGAGGTATAATCCATAGTGCAGACTATATTCAGTCTTCATCAGTAAGTGTTTTAAGTCATCCTCACTTTCAGCAAACAAAGGTGTGTCATCTACATATTGCAGATT